CATGTCCCAGAAATATTACCTCCTTCAGCCAAAACTCACATTTTGAGAATTTTGCATATAATTGTTTCTCCCTTAGAATTTTCAACACAATTCTAAGGTGAGTTTTGTGCTCCTCCTCGCTTTTAGAATAGATGAGAATATCATCTATGAACACAATCACAAACTTATCAAGATATTCATGGAAAACTCTGTTCATAAGAGCCATAAATACCGCTGGTGCATTAGTGAGTCCAAAAGGCATTACCAGGAACTCATAATGCCCATATCTTGTTCTAAAAGCTATCTTTGAGGTCGCTCCATCTGCCACTTTCAGTTGATGGTATCCAGACCTCAAATCAATCTTAGAAAAGACAGATGCACCCTCCAATTGATCTAACAAATCATCTATTCTTGGAAGGCGATTCTTCACTATCGCCTTATTCAACCTCCGGTAGTCAATGCACATTCTCATGGAGCCATCTTTCTTCTTGACAAACAAAACCGGTGCACCCCAAGGTGAGATGCTAGGTCGAATAAACCCCTTGTCTAGCAATTCTTGCAATTGTTCTTTAAGCTCCTTCAGCTCAATTGGTGCCATTCTATATGGTGCCATGGAAATTGGTGTTCTGCCAGGTACCAATTCAATATCAAACTCTACTTCCCTTTCTGGTGGAAGGCCGGGAAGTTCTTCGGGGAATACATCAGGAAACTCCCTTACCACCTCTACATCCTCAACCTTATTATCATTTACAACAGTCACTTGAGCAAGAAAGTCTTCACAACCTTCCTTCACTAATCGAAAAGCTTCCAAGGCAGAAAGAAAACCACGAGTCTCATTTTTCTTAATGCCTCGGAATACAACAGGACCTTTATCTGGTGTGTTAAATAACACTTCTTTCTTTTGACAATCCACAACAGCTCCATGTGTTGCCAGAAAGTCCATTCCAAGGATGACATCAAATTCATCAAAAGGTAGCAGAATTAAATATGCTGCTAGGAAAGCTCCTTCCACACAAATGAAGGAACTTCTAATATGTGCATATGTGTTTTAACACATAAGGTATAACCTAGCTTATCTGGAACTAAGCGTAGCATATGTGCAAACGTATATGACATGAATGAGTGAGAGGAACCAGTATCGATCAAAGCATATAATTGCTTGCCAAGGATAGAAAGCATACCAGTCACAACTTCTGGTGCCACTTCTGCCTCACCTCGAGTCATTGCATAAACCCTCGGTGCTCCTTGTGCTCTTGTACCCTGTGTACCACTTCCCGATGGCTGATTTTGACCACCACCTCTACCACCCTGTGAACCACCACGACCACTCTGAAATCCACTACGGCCTCCCTGGTAACCACCCCTGAATGGGGCTCTACTAAATTTCACTAAAGGCTCGGTTTGTGTAGCTCTTACTTCTCTCGAATGCGGACAATCCCTCATGATGTGCCCAGGTTGGCCACAGTGAAAGCATACACCAGAAAATCTCCTACACTCTCCAAGATGCCTCTTCTAACAAACTTGACAAAATGGAAATTGTGTGGCTGAGGAAATTGGTGCCCTGTATGATGTTCCTGGCATAGATTGACTCGGTGTTCTCCCAAAACTGCTAGGACCTCTCCTGGGTGGGTAACGAGGTCCAGCATAATTTACTCCAAACTTCCTCTTCTTCTCCTCTTCTTTGGCCTTGTGTTCCTCTCGGCTCTCAACTTCATAGGCTTCATACTTTAGTGCTGCCTCCTTGATTGTGGCCATGCTCTCTTCATCAACCCTGTGGATCTTTTCTTTCAATCCTATGCGCAGACCATGCAAGTATCTCATCGTCTTCTTATGCTCAGTATCCGCCAACCCATCTTCAAAGTAGAGTAGTCGAACAAACTTGATGGTGTACTCAGTAACTGTCATATTCTCCTGCTTAAGGTTAGCGAATTCATTATTCTTTGCCCTGATAAAAGCTTCGGGAAGAAACTCTGTCTTAAAGGCCTTCAGGAACTCCTCCCATGTGAACTGAACTCGTTCACCATTAACTCTAGAGACTGAGGACCACCAGCTCCTCGCATACCCCTTTAGGAGAAAAACAACATATTGCACTTTTTCCTCTGGGGTTGCATAAAGATACTCAAACACATCTTCCATCTCTCTCAACCACTCTACTACAGCATCTGGGCTCACATCTCCCTTGAAGTCCCTACCACCCAAACTCTTCATCTTTGCATAGTCTAATACTGGCGGCCTTGCATCAACCGGCCCCACTCCTCTCGACTGGTCAGTAGGAACATTATGACAACTTCCGTGCAAGCTACAAGGAAATATTGTCCTTAGATTGATCCACACAAAATTCATTCTTCACCAAATCTCTCACTTGGTTAAAACGAAATTTTCCCAAAATAATTACTTGAAAACAAATAAGTTCAAAACTCAATTTTGAAAACCATGATGCAGGTAATTTCATCCAATATACCAATACGCATAATCATGTAAAACTCAATTCCCAGTTTAAGTCATTATGGGGTACTCCCCTCCTTAGGAGTGTTTAACCTCCCATAGGGTATAGTACGCCATAACAGCAAAAAGAGGGAACCGGGCTCTGATACCAAACTGTAACACCCTACCCTATACATTATGCCTAATCATATTGTTCATACAATTGCAGCGGAATTAATCTCGGGTGTTACATTAATTATCAAAATTTACCCAAATAAAATTTCGACATGAATTACTCGCGTAATGGCTAACAGTTCTTGCAACTTATCCTGCAAAATAATTCATCACAAACATATATACTAACAACCATATGCATTGGCTTTTCTTAGACATAGTCACACTTTTCATACTCCACAACTGCATACCATACTTATACATACCATAATCGTCACAACTTACACAGTTACACAACATATACACATATCATCAACTTTCCACACCTGTGGATATCTCACACTAGATCAGAAGCTAGTATGCACATGAAAAACGTTCTCAAAACATTTTTACAAAAATGTGTGGATCACTGGCCAAAATCCCGAGTAGTAGTCCAAGCACAGAATAGTTGAGGACCATACCTCATCTTTCCTTCAACTCTTGCTCAGCTCCCACCTATACACCTATCTACTGCTGCTGATGATGATGATCTGCTTACACATGGCATAAGCAGAGAAAAAGGATAAAGAGGGTCAGCTCATAGCTGAGTGAGATAATCATAGCATCGTGAGTTCATAACATAGCATACCACTACCATACATCTAGCAAACAAGACAAAGCACTAGGATCAGATCTCACCCCTCCAACATCCCAATAGGCAAAAGACTCAACCACCTTGACTTATGCATATGCATCTTATCATGTTTTACTCATAGGCGCCTGGCTACTCCCATGCTAATAACTCTCCCGGGAAACATACCCCAACATCCCGTCGGATGTGGTCATACATACCCCACACCACTATGGGTGTAGTCATACCCCGACACCACTCTGGGTGTGGTCATATCTCGTAAGAAATCTTCAGTCACCACCACATGAGAGGTGTGACTATCATACTTATCATAATAGAGTAATAGCATAGGGAGCCCTAATTACTATGTGGTTGACCGTGAGAGCACAACACTCATATTTGGTATCCTTATACATGATTCATATCTCATCTTGCTTAATCATAATTCATTACTTGCACATGTACTTGACCTGGCCATAATTGGCTCAACATAAGTAAATCAGGAGTCGTATAATTGCACTTCCTCGGGATAAACCCTCGTGCAAGTCATCCTCCTTAAAAATCGTAATATCACCAGGTAATATATATTTTCCCACTTGTGCATCCAAATACAACAATCATGAAAAATCATACCTCATCACCTTCTCGAACCATCGTAAAGCATATTAATAGTCAAGCCCACAATTTGCAACATATACACAATCATGAGCATAAACAAGGTTCATATCGATTAGGGCAAGTCAATAATATCATACAGCAATCCAGGGTTCAACATGTAGCACAAAATTTCATACACCCCTAATCATGTCATTCTAGTTCACCTAGATCAATTCTAAGCATCAATATAATTATCGTGATACGACAAACCCGGTATGCCGTGCTAATCCCTCACCAGCTCTGGTCGTTCAAACACCGGTTTAAGCTTCCCCGTACTAAAACGTAAATTTCACGAACGAACCCCGAATTAAAATCCGAGACCGTTCTAATATCCCCTGCCGTATCCCCGTCAATATTAGTTCTAGGATCCGGGTCAAATTCTTGATAAAAACACATCAAACCCTGGCCGGAGCTAAATTCAGCGATTTGGTCCCCGGCCTAAATAATAGCCGAAATTCAGGGATTAGAACTAGAGGATTGATTACCTCGCTGCAAGAAGCTCGTATATGAAATTTGGGCTCAATCCGGCTTCCGGATACTCCAAAACCCTAATTCGGCTTATCGGGAATTCAAGAAATTCCTGAACCAAAAAGTAGTTTTAAAGCTCTAAATCGGTAAATCACGATGTATAGATGAATTAGGCATTACTTACGGGATTTTTGGATTAGTGGAGCTCAAGAATTTGAGCTTTGGAAATTCTCCTCGCGATGCCCTGTGCGCCTCTTGCTCGTCTGTTTTCTCTCGATACGTGAAGAAAGAAGAAGAAGATGGGAAAATGAAACGGTGGTGGGGGATTTAAATGTACAGGGATATATATATATAATACGCACACTTATGCGATCGATCGATAATCCGATTTTCGCCGAAATACTGTCAAAATGCTCGATTTTAAATCGCGAACTTTCTAGCGATCGAAATATGGGTTTTGCCAAAACGGGCTGTTACAATAAGCTAGTTAATTAATACATTGGAAGTGGCAAGAAAAGGACATCCTAGGATGAGAGGCACATCAATATCCTCACTAATATCCGGGATAATGAAATCCGCCAGATAAAAGAACTTGCCCACTCACACTAGGTTGTCGTTTACAATGCCTTTGGATGAACCACCCAGACCTATCGGCTAATCTCACACTCAAGTTAGTAGTCTTTATTTCACCTAGGTCTAACATTTAATAAAGCTTAAAAGGCATGACATTAATGCTAGGTTTTAGATCTGCCAGGATTTTTCTATATGAAATGCACCAATGCATAAGGGAATAGTGGAACTCGCTAGATCCTGTTTCTTTTCAAGAAGCATGTTCTAGATGATGGAGGATCACTCCTCCCATCAAGGAGATTGAAGCAAGGTCTTCAAATTTCCATTTCTTGGTGCCAAGATTCTTGAGGAACTTGGCGTACTTCGCTAATTGCGCAAAGCCTCTCTATGAACTTGGAAAATTCCTCCTCCAAACGGTCCTTGTGAACTCTTGATGTGAAATTAAGGTGAGGTTTGTACTCACCTATGAGAGGTGGCTTTGGCGATGCCTTCCTAGACTCTTCTTTCTTTGCCTCCATAGCTCTTCCTCGATCGCCGTTGGAAGGGCTTGTTCTTGTTCTTCTTGAAACACCTTCTTAGACTCAACATTGTCCTTGGATCCTTGGGGTTTGCCACAGTTTGGGAAGGTAGAGCTCCTTGAGGTCTCTCGGTGAGGACTTCAGTGAGACTGCCGATTTGGGTCTCCAAGTTTTGAACACTCAATTGATGGCTTCTAAGTCCCTCCTCAAAAGAGGAAAAATTGCATGTAGCAAATTTCATAAACTACTCAATCTTCTCAAAATTTTGAGTACTCAAACTAACAAAGGTGGTCACAAGATCTTGGAGCTTGGAGATCTTGTCAGGTTGTTTAAGTTGTTGTTGTTGACACCCTTGCCCATCTTGCAGTTGATATTGTTGCTGTGGAGGTTTATTGCTTGAAATAAAGGCATTGGTTGAGGGAAACGAGGATCTTGGTTGATATCCACTGGTAGGCCCTTTGAAAACCTGGTGGTCTCGAATGAGCCGGTGATGCTTATGCAAGTTTAGATGGTTGCGCCACCCCGGGTTGTAAGTGTTGCTATAGGTGTTATTGTTGTAATTTTTCTTCTAGAATTAGCAACCTAATTTCTTCTTGTGGCACTGCGTTCATCTTCAAACCATCCGTCAATTTGTAGAACCGATTGAATGTTCTCTTGGTGACTCATTTTCAAGACCATAAAACTGGATGTTGCTTTGTATCATGGTGATGAGACCGGTCTTGATCTCAAAGTTGTTGGCTGCCACGATTGGATATCGAATTATAAGTTGGATGTACGCCACCTATGGGGACATATAGTACCCCATGGTCCTTGCTTCATCCCCATCTTCTGTTGATTCGTTCGCTATCACGAACTCCTCTTGAACTTCAACTTCTTTTTCAACTTTTGGTTGCACTCAAACTACGATTCTTTCCCTCTCTTATCTTTCATCCCTCTCACGAGAGAGTAGCCGGAGCGTCCGATTGATGTTTTGTCTAGTGCCTTCGGGTCATACACCACCTGCACACACTCCAAACAACAAAAGCAAGAGCCAAACAAGCTATGTCAAAACAAACCATGCAAGAAAAGAAATGATAGATTAATAGTAGTTCACTTTTTTCGAATAAAAAATCATGTTCCAAGGCAATAAATCCAGAAGAACTTGACTCATGGCTAACAACACACTCCCAATCATGGCCCAAGTGCAAACTACGACCAGGTGTAGTATAGAGCAAGTATATTTCAATCATCAAACCCCGACAGTTTATATATCCTTACTTCAGCAACTACAAATTACTAGTGGTAGAAGCGTTGTTTTAAGCTATTAAAATAAACAAACAACTAAAATGAAGTTAAATTCAAGTGAGAAGGCTTTGCTTAGATGATTATCACCCTAGTCCCGTGTTGAGACGATGATAAGATACTTGACTCAGGCTAAATTAAACATATTTTAACGCTAATTTCTAGATCGTTTCTTGATCATTTGACTTGATTACATGTCTCCTTTGCTCATTTTACGCTAGATTATGTTCATTCGATGTATTTCAGGTCATATTATATTAGAGGAAGGTTCAGGCACAAATTTTGGGTCATCCGGAGGTCGTTTGGCCATTCAAACGTGTTCTAGAGGAAGAAAATCGGCCTGGGCTCTCCAAAACTTGATCTAAGGGTCAAAACTCTACTTAGAGCAAGAACTTGGCCAGAAAAATCGATCGAGTTTCACCTTTCGACCAAAGTGGAATAAAGTTGTTTTTTCCAAATATAGATATGGATACTGAGCTTTTGGGTTCCAAATGACCCTACGAGGTGCTCTAGAGGCAGAGGAAGGTCCAGGGGTAATTTTGGAGAAATTTCATGGATTTCTTTACCAAGGAAACCCGAAGAGCAAGCTTGAAGGTAGAAATCGAAGCTTATAGTAGATTTTATGCACTTTCCTCTTTTATGGGGTAACCTCCTTCATTTGGGTTTTTGATGATTCTATGAGTACTCTTTCTTCATAAAATCAAGGTCATATCCAATCTATGCATGTTTTGATGTTCAAATCTGCTTTAATCGAGATTATTGATTTGGCTATTGAACTATGAGATGGAATACCAGATTGAGTCACTTAGAGCACCTTAGATTGGAAGTAGGGGGTCGATTGTGAGAGAGTGAGTCGATTTCATGCTTTGTATTGAGTTGAAACCTCACCAATATATGAGATCTAGTGTGGAACGCCTTGATCGGTTGTGATAGAGAAGGGTAAACCCCTCTAGACTACTGACTCAAGAGGGACTTGATTGCTTTAATCGAGATTCAAGGTCTAGTAAATGATCCTCCACATTATAGACGAGGGTGGAAGAAGTTAGAAACTAATAAATCTCAATACGACCAGTGGCTAGGTGGACACCCAAGTGAGTCCTTAACTTGTAATTAGATAGATTAACCATAGAGTAGTTTAGTTTCTTATATTCAAACAACAATTCGCTAGATAACAAACCGAAGCTGAGTAAGAGTACATCTAGATGCCTTGAGGCTTGATAATTTATCACTTTACTTCCACTATACCGCTTCCCAATTTGTTGTTTCACTTGGCCACATATCAGAGTTGTAGTAAAAGCGAGTCAAGTTTTGGTGTCGTAAACAGGGATATTTCTAGATTATTGAGAAAGTCATAGTTTGTTAATTTAGTCATTTTACTTTATTTTCTTCCCACCTTTTCTTTTGAAGGTATTTTTGTTTTGTTCTTGCAGATCAAATCATGGATCCCTATGGCTACTCTGACATGTGGGGGTATCTGCCACCACCCAAATGGGGTTACCCCGAAGCACCATGGAGTAACCAAGAGGGGGAAAGTCAAGGATTCGAGTTGGATAACCAACCCCCTTCTATGAAGAACGACCATACCGTAGGGAATTTTGAGAATCACTTCCTTATCAATAAAATTTTCTTCAACAACCAGAGGGGCCATCTGAGCTGGAGTTAGCCATTGAAGCGTTCACAAACCGTTCTTCAGAACTATGCTACTCTCCACGACCAGTCTGAACCTTCATTTATCAGTGAAATGGATGACTCGTTCTAACTACAACATCCCGATCGACCGGGTGTAGCATAGGGCAAGCAAAGAATAAGAATTTATCGTACCATGAGGATCTAGGCTTACCCTACTTCAGGTTTAGGGTTCGATATCTAGCCAACCTAGGATAGTGATTGATAGAATTAAACTAACTAACCTAGACTAACCACTAACCTAGCTGTTTACAAGGTTGGGAGCTCTCTTGGGTTTAATCGTCCTAGGTTCGTTCTTTGGATCGATGTTGGGTATCCTCCTAGCTCGATCGACTCAAATACACTACCGTTTGGAGATGGACTCCCTCGGGAATGATCCAGAACGGAAAATCGATGGATGGGTAGTGCTCTATTCAAGCTAGGGTTTCATATAATGCTAGGTAGCCGATCGAATCAACTCCCTCGAGGACTACCCGGACAATATACGATAGGAGTGACCCGAAGACGGCAAAAAGGGGCTCTAAGGGGATTATCTCCCTCCTAGGTCAAAAGCTCAATACATGAAAATGGAAACCCAACTCATGCCATTCATGAAAACATCCATCAATTAAGTAAAATCATCAATCAATCATGGAGTTTGTCACATACATCAACATTAAACCCAAATCCAGACCTAGGGTTCTTAAACCCAAGAGAAGAGGGTGAGTTTCTAGAGAGAGCGAGGAGAGATTACAAAGAAACCTTTAGATCTTCATCTTCTTCTTCTAGGCTTGATTCTTGCTTCCAAGCTTGATCAATTCCTTCAATTAAGCTCCAAGATCACTCTCTCAGTCTCTAGAACTCCCCTTTGGTGTTTTGGATCGAAACCCTAGAGAAAGAAAGTGTTCCTTATGCAAATACCAACCCCCTTTCTCTCTCCCCGCCGTTGTCTTCATATTTTCCCGAAAATACCCAGTTCACGAACTTGTTGGCCAGTTCACGGCCGCATTGGCCAGTTCACGGTCTTAGAGACAGTGAACTGACGACTTCACAGTTTACGGCCAAAGTTCACTGTCTTAGAGACTGTGAACTGGAAATTTGCCAGTAACCTGTAGAACCGTGCTGGAAATTTGCCTCTTCACGGTTTGGGATCTCATTTCACGATCTTATAGACTGTGAAATGAAGCTCCATCCCGTGAACAAGGTTCAGCCCCCACTTCTTGGCTCATTTTGATCTCCGAATGACCCGAAACTCGTCCCGAACCTTCCCATAACGTGCTAGGGCCTGAATTGTAACAAAACAAGAAAAATCTAGCGTAAAATAGGTTGAGGGACGATGATCTACTAAGCATAACGGATAATAAATGAGGGGTAAAATGTGTACATTTGGGCCCGAATCAATGGAGGAGGCAGTTCAGCGCTCAATGAAGCAAACATAGTGGTTTGATCAAGTTTATGCGTAGCTTGCTCAAGATCGCCTTTTGTGTGACCAAAATAGAAGATGAGGAGGACGAAGAAGGCTACGAGGACATTGTGGAGCAGATAGAAGTTGTCAAGCTCTTCGTGATGATCATGATTAGAAATTTCTTGTTGTAGCCGACCACACCTTTTCCCATTATATCTCGAGCTTAAATAGACGAGCATGAGTGAAAAGATGCAAACTGATCTTATTGAGAACCTTGCATGGTGACTTGCTCTCCAATCCGTGTTGGAAGAAGAAGAGCAAGAATGGTGAGAGAGGAAGTTGTGGAATATAAGGAAGAAAGTCATGATGAAGAGGTTCTTGATATTTTCCAAGGGGAGGAATCAAATTCTGAATAAGGAAGGGGAATTGAAGAAGAAATTGGCATCCAGGCTGAGGACGAAGTTAAGGTGCAAGAGCCTTGCACTGGCCCTATGTTACATGTGATATCCCCACCAAACTTTGAGGAGCTGCTTGGCAAGGACCCCTTTGTGGTGTCTCTTTGCTGAGCCAAGGCCACACTATTATCTATCTCTCTTGGTGGATGTGATGGTGGTCAATCCATGATGTTCTATATGGTGTGGGTCAAAGAGAAGAATGAAGGAAAGAAGAAGAGGTCTCGTGGGTGAAGCCTCAAATCTCAACAATTTCACGAGCCATCATCCACATCATTTCAAGCATTTCATGCTCGTGACATGAGTCTCCACCTCATCGACGAGACCCTCAACTTCAAGGAGATTTTGGGATGGGCTGAAACTTGATCATCCCCGTCCGGCTTAAAGACGTAAAAGAAGTGCTAGTTGGGAGGCATCCCAACTCTATGGTTTGCAATTTATTTTCCTTTTTTTTGTGGTGTGATTGAATAAACATATTCTTTTGAAAATTCAAAGTGGTTAGCACCAAAGTGCACTCAACTTCCGACCAACATTCTTCACCTTTGGTCCGATAATTTCTTCTCTGCCTCCTAATCTTTCCTCCATTGAGGACAATGTCGTGCTTAAGTGCGGGGAGGAATGTTACATTATATGGGGGTGAATGAATGTTGGAATTTGAGTGCTTGGATGCCTAGTACACTGTCCAAATTTTATAAAATTCGAGGGCTCCAAACACAAATTTCCTCCTTTTGCAGGATCGTAATGGGTGCTTTTGAACTTTTATTTTGAATCTCACGACCTATTGATTTTGATGCATGAGTAGCATGATTTTGATTGAAAGTGACCTATTATAATGACTGAGATTTGTAGTACTTAGTTGCAAGATTTAATGTGATTTCGATTGGTTACCTATTTTGCCCACTTCTTTAAGCATCTTGAATGAGGCATCTAAATTTGAGATTGAGCAACTAGGTAGCCATGTGAGGTTTGTTCCTGTTCGTTTCTTTCTTGTGCGATAGTTCCCTCTTGCCTTGATTACCTAGCAATTATTACATCACTAATGAGGAAGATGAAGGCATATGTATAGCCCACCACCAAATTGACCAAATGATCAACTAGTCAACCCTCGTTGAGCCTTAGCCTATTTCTTCGTTACAAAACCCCATTTTGAAACCAATCCATGTTCTTCAAGCCCATATTTATTTGAACCTTTTTCAAGGTTTCACATGGTTGGTCTTCACCTAGTTGTCAGATTCATTTTAAAGTGAGTGGAGGAGGAACCGCTTAATTTTGGACAGTGTTGTGCTTTAAAATTCTTAAAATGTGATTCTTAAAATGTGGTATGGCTTGTTTGCTCTGAAAAAAAAGAAACAAAAAAAAAAAATAATGAAGAGAGAAGCCACATAGTTTTATGCACATATAAGGAGTCATTCTTTTGCACAAGTTCAAAGAAACTCCTAAAATTTGAAAATTCCCTCCTATACTCTTGTGCTTCAAAATCGTATCAAAGAAGAAAAAGCAAAGACAATAGTGTTGTGTTTGGTTTTGGTTTGAATTTTCCGGAACCTTGAACAATGAATACTTTCCTCAACCATTAAGACTTATTACCCATGTCCTAAACCTAGCCGGTTACAACTCGAATAAAGCCCTCTTGACTAGTTAGTGATGACCCTTCCACACTCGGAAAGCTAGCTTCATGGAGAAGAGATGATAGGTTTGAGAGAAATGGAATGTGCATCTTTTGCCTAAATCATGATCCTGACCCCACTGGTCGAGAGTTGAGTGATTCATTTTCGTATGATATATAATGGTGAGGACCAAGATTGCTTGGTTTCTTGTTCAGGTGATTTGAACTCTATGCTTAGATGATTGTGACGAGTGTGTAGGTTAATCATGTTATTTTGTAAAATAGGTGAGGTGTGAAATCGTGATCTTTGTGCAAAATGCACTGTTTCACTAACATACTTTAGGGTTTGATGTAGACTTCACCCTCTTAACCCGTGTTCATGCTCTGCTCGTGCCACGTCCGAAAGCTCCTGCCTGTTTGGACACTTCAAAGTTTGGCTGCAATCTTCATGTTCTGTTACCTATGATGCTCTCCTCTGAACCGTGGTCCTTGCAATTTCTAGCACGCTGTCCCATTTTAGATCCCTTTCGTCATACTTTCGATCCTTTTGCCCATTTTACTTGCTATGGCCTGAAATATACTGAAATATACTGAAATATTCCAAAATCTAGCTTAAAATGGCTTCAAGGACGATAGTAAACAAGTCAAATGACAAGGAAAATGGGTACAAATATGTGTGGAACGGCTCTAATCAGAATCATAGAAGACACCCTTATTGGTGGTGGAGGTGAGAAGAAGGGAGACGAAGATCTCCGAATGTTGTACAATGTTCTCGCACCTCAGGTAGACAAGCTAACATAGCATCTAATTGAGGTGCCGCAAGGACTAAGCGGTGGCTCAAGAAAATTCGCCCAGTAATAGTCTAATTAAGCTCGGCTTGGCCTACGTGAAAATCATGAAGAGGACAAGGGATACCAAATTGGTTAAGGTAGGAGTGTAGGAGCAGTAATGGTCGGACTTGGTGTTGGTTCAAACCAAATTAGTTTGGCATAAGCCAAGTTAAGTAGGAATCAATTCAAGGTTAATTAGATTATCAAATAGGGAGCTGGTGCGTTGAGGCTTTATCTAGAGGAGATATATGGTATTGACGATAGTTGGAAGAAAATTCAGTGGATTTTGAGGACAACGATGGGTGGGAGGTATTCGAACTAGGGAGAAATCAACAACCAATGAGGCGCCCAAACTAAGCCGAGGCACGTGTCGATGGAGATTTCCGTGATGATGAAGATTTTCTGTTTCGACCGAAGTCTCCTATTATTGAGTTTGCAAAGTTTTTGAGTTTTGAAGATGCTGGGGCATGGTTGTTTCAAGCAGAGTGAATTTTTTTTTTTTTTTACTTCCATGAACCAGGGAATATCAAAGAGAGCATCTTGAAGCTTTCTGCACAGTAGATGGAAAGGAGATACGCGGATGCATGCTAATGTTCACGAGGGCATATCTTAAGGAGGAGTTCATGATGAGGTTCAACTGTGTTAGACGATGGACAGGAAATACGTGGAGTGTCTCAAGAAAACCCCAACATCACAATCGCAGGGGCGCAACAACAATTATGTGACTGAGTTTTGCAGCAAATTTGGAACAAGCTGGCCAAATTTGGCATGAATCTACAAAATCCATCAAGGGGTTTGAAATATCAATGAAGTAAGGATTTCATCATCGCATCATGGAACCCGAATTCATACTGGCAATAGATCTAGTCAGCAAAAAGCCTTGACCCAGTTTGCACTCTAGGAACCATAATCGATGGTCTATATCGTCGATGATCTAAGAATCAAGCATTGATGCCACTTGAGGTATAGGTGGTTGATCATTTCTTCTATACTCTTGTAGCATCATTGGGGTATCACTAGAGAGTATTTCTTAACGACCTATATTATACTAAGCACAATGCATATAGTAGTACACTACATAATCATAATTAAACATTGATGATAAAGAAGCATTCATACTATATAAATTAATAACAATTATCAAAGTGATTCGATACAGAGCGAAGCAAACAATTAGTTGGTTTGTGGCAGCAAAAAGCAGTGATCAAGTTTATTTGGTGCGCTCATGAAATACTGGGTTAGCCACAATTTTCAAGTGCAAATTGATTTTCACCGTATAAATGAGTAGGAATTAACTGGAAGAATTAAATTCACTAAGTAGTAAAATAACCTCATCGATAGTGCTAGTCAGCCACTTCACAGGTCAAAGATCATAGTTGAGTGCGACCTATTATAATTTAATAGAATTTGATAGCTAGTTAATAATGATGTAACCGCATATAACGTATGTGATGCAGCAAAATATTTTTGGATGACATACGTGAAAAAACCCATAAATCCAGTGACCAAATATTCGATTTATCCAATATTTAAATATATGGTCCAGGCTATATATATAGAATCTATGTCGAAAATCAAAATCTCCACCGCAACCCTTTTCGAGTTCAGCCGACTATAACTCTTCCGCCAAAGCGCAACTGAAAGGATGGATTTCACAATTCGCGTCGCTGTAAAACGATTCTCAACGAAGTCGGCGACGGCGGCAGCGACATTGCCAAAAACGTTATCGTGTCTTAAGAATTGAATAGAGATGAAGAAGATAAGGCAGCTGCTAGGTTAAGCAGCTACAGGAGAACGAATTGTGGGGAATCGTTAGGTGAGTTGTTTGCTCATCCTTTTCTATTTATAGTATGCAATTTCAGGTCTACAGTAAAAACAGGAAATGGAAAACTGTAAATCAAAGTGACTATAAATAAGCCGACACGTGGTTGTTGTTCATTCAATATAAAACTAACAGCTACTTCTTCATAACGCTGTCGTTTCCTCCTTTCCTCTGTTTCTGATTCTCTGTATCAGTAGCTGCTCCAGCTCCAGCTTCTTCTTCTTCTTCTTTGCTGCTGTTGGTCTCATCTGTTACTCCCCCACAAGTTGGCGAGTGCATATCAATCACTCCCAACTTGTGTAGCAAGAACTTCAATCTATATCTTGTCATTCCTTTTGTAAACATATATGCCAATTGATCTTCAGTTCGAACATGACTCAATTTAATCATACGTGATTTCAGGCTTTCTCTCGTGATGTGGCAATCTATTTCAATATGTTTAGTCCTCTCATGGAAGACTGGATTCTCAGCAATGTGCATTGCTGATCGATTGTCACAATAAACCTGAATAGGTAGTTCCACTTTAACATCCATTTCTGCTAACAGGTTTCTTAACCACTGCAATTCACAAACCAAATGAGCCAGTGCTCTATATTCTGAATCTGACGATGACCTGGAAACTGTTGTCTGTTTATTTGATTTCCAGGTTAGCAAGTTCTCTCCCAGCAGTGTACAGTACCGTGTAACAGACCTTCTCGTGTCTGGACAACTTTCCCAGTCAGAATATGAAAAACCAGATAACTTCAAGTGTGAATCTGCCTTGAAGAGCAACCCTTGCCCTAGAGCATGTTTCAAGTACCTCAAGACTCTATAGGCAGTTGATAAATGCTCAATGTATGGATCTTTTTGGAACTGACACAATTGTTGTACAGAGAATGTAAGGTCAGGTCTTGTTATAGTAAGATATTGTAGCCTACCTACAAGTCTCTTGTACACTTCTGAATTCTCCAAAGGTTCCCCCTGTTTAGCAGTCAACTTCATCTTGTAATCAACAGGTGCCAAGCAATCTTTAGCTTCCAAGTAACATGTGTCTGCTAACAATTTCATACAGTATTTCCTTTGATTAACTTGAATGCCCTTGTGGTCTCTATAAATCTCCAGTCCAAGGAAATATTTTAGCACACCAAGATCTTTGATCTTAAATTCCCTTCCAAGAAACAGTTTCAACTGCTCTATATCTCCCAATGAGCTCCCTGCAATGAGAATGTCATCTACATATACCAGTACAACAAGAATTCTTCCTTGTATTCTCTTCACAAACATAGAGTAATTTGAGGCTGCTTGTGAAAATCCATTTTTGAGCAGTGAGCCTGCTAGCTTGGCAAACCATTGCCTGCTGGCTTGTTTCAAACCATACAAGGAATTTTTCAGTCTCAAAACCATCCTCTTATCTGGTAGTTC